CCAGGAATTGGTAGTTTTGCAATCTTATAATTTTGCACCATATCTCATATCTATTTATCTGCTTTTCTTCTCATTTGGCTATTCCTCTTCTTTATCTTTCTCTTACTTGATACTTAATTTTTCTGAGAGATGGATACATATATCTTTAGCCAGTATTTAATTGTGGAATATATATTATACAATTCTATGAGTCTATAATTCTATAGAAAATATATATACATATTATGTGTATATATATATATGTGTGTGTGTGTGTGTGTGTACACACAAAAACACACAAGCAGGTGCTTACAAAGGTGTAACTGTGTTAGTCTAACATCTGCAAAGAATATGTTTAAGTTCAATAAGACACTTACTTGAAAATTAACTGTTGATTTATAATGATCAAATTCCACGATTTTAAACAATTTTAAGCAGATTAATGTGCTATATACTTTGGAAAATAACAATATGTATAAAATACAGAATTCTTTTACAAAAGACCTCAAAATATTCTGATCTATTAAACAACTTGTCATTTAGAATTTCTTCTTAAATGTATTAAACATTTTACCCTTAACTCAACCCAAGAATTTTTAATCCTCAGTTGTATTTGTGTAGAGAAATACTTCAAAAATTTTCAAACCTAAAGATTTGGATACCTTGTAAATAAACCTAGAGCTGAAAGAACTACAGCCAAATTTTACGTAAGTGTTTCAAAGAGTTTTCATTTGTCTGTTGGTTAAATACTTACCTTGAATGTCTAAAATGGTCTAAAAGTTGTAAATGCAACTCTTAGTTAAACTTTCATATAATATCAATTGTTTGCATCTCTTACTCTCTATTTTTTCCTGTTTTTTCTTAATTATTTATGGCCTAGCTGTTCCAGAATTACTAACTTGTTGGTCATTTCCACTTTGACACTGATATTTTATAATCCACAGACTCCTAACTTAGAATACAATTCTATTATTTAAAAAAACAGCTTGTGTCATATCTGTATCTGAAAAGGAAGAAAAATAATCTTTTCACTGGTTTATACATTTGAAAATTATGATGAACTTTTTCTTTTCCTATAAAATAATAGCTTGTCACCATAGAGTATATTTCAAATTTATGGTATACTTTTTGGGGATTTTAAAATACTTTAAATAATTTGGGCTTTTCATGATTCCTCTAGAATTGTAGAGTATGACTGATAACTGCCTTTAGAATCCCTAATAGCTAAATTACAATTATTATGCAAAGCCCTACAATAGACAGTTATATGGATTGTTAAATGACTTTGCCTTTTTTGCAAACTATAATCATTTTCCTTTATTAGCTGAAGGATTTTATAATTTAAGGAAGATGAGAAACCTATAAGTCACGCTTTCAAATAAGGAACATGGATATTGCAAACATTAAATTTCCCCATAAAAATGTTAAGGCATCATTAAACTAGGTTCAGATTAATACAATTCAGTCAACTCTAGATAGATATCTCCCATAATAAGCTGAAACAATACCTAGTGATCTAAGATGTAAAATATTTTACTACAGCCAATTTATAAACCTATAAAACATACAGGTATCATTCAACCTCTTTATTAATAGTGCATGCCTTGTATTAAATCAAAACCATTTTAAAAACCCCCTCCCCTTTGGCATTCCCATCCTCAGCTGTCACCCCTCATTATGTGTTATCTCATTGAAGCTCATCCAGAGTGAATGACAGCATCTTTTTTACTAGAACAGCACAGGCAATTGCAAGCCTAGTGATACAGCTAAACTTTCTCTGAGATTTATGGACACATTTTCTACCCTCAACCTACAACATTCTCTGAGCTAACGTTGATGTATTTGTTTTTCTGTAGATAGGTATGTTATTTGCTCACTTCGGAAAAAATGTATCTTATTACTTTTAAAGTTTTGCAATTTGCTTTACAAGTGAATTGTATTCACAAGGAAACAGATACTCAAACAACCTCATGTTTTAGACAATTTTGAATGTGTTTGGAGGATTCCTTTTTTCACTCTATTTTTCTCTAGCAAAAAAAAAAGTGAAACATTTTATATTGGCTTAGTTGCTGGGGATTTTAATGAATTATCTGTTCTGGTAATGTATTGCCAGGCAACAATTCTAAAATAATCATGATACATTTCATGAACACAAATCTATCACAGGGATGAGATTCAGGCGGCGTAGGTGGGGAGGAGATAACTCATCTCTGCTTCATCTACTATCTAGCAGCTGAAGTAACCCAGAGATTGGAACTTGGAATCATCAGGTTTACTCATACCTCTATTGGGTTAAATGATCACTGATTCTATGTGGTATCTCCAGCTGGTGCCTTTAGGGTAGCAAGATTCACACATGTTAACACATGGCTTCCAAAGTAGAATCCTAAGCGAGAAGAAAATGATGGACACTATATCTCCTTTTCTAATCTGGCTTCATAAGTGATACACTTTCACTTTGTTCCATTTATCAAAAGAGAATTCATAAGTTGATCAATAATTAAACTAGTATGACAGGAATGGGAAGGTTGAAACGATGTTTTGATTTGAGAAATTACAAAAACCTCACAAAACTGTGCTACCATCACACACTTTGATGATGTCACATCATCAAAGGGCCTTGTGCAGGCTAGGCAAATGCTCTGCCATTGAGCTATATCCCCAGCACCTCAACTATTTATTTCTAAAGTTACTCCATTACAAAACACTCTGAAAATATCCATTCTTGTTCTTACTACTGTTCTTTCTGTAGCCTCCTTGTAATGAGGTGTGTCATTGCAGGTCATCCTGATACAAAAAAAACAGAGTATAATAGATAAAATTTCTAAGTGCAAAAATAAAAGTATTATACATAACAAAGAAATTTTTACTATGAATCATCACAGATAAAAATGCATTAATTAATCTATTAAAGAATCTGTATACTTTTTGAACATTAGAGTTCCTATATGTAATGGGGATAAATATGTTATTTTTTAAGGTGAAAAATCCCCAAGTAATTTTTAGCTTAAAAAAAATGATCAAAGGAATGAAGGCCAGATCTCTAAAAATGAGACTATCCAGAAGAATAAGAACAAAACAATGAAAGAAATATAACTTCTTATCCTAACTTTTGGTTATATAGTATCAATACAGTGTATATGTATGAGTAGATATTTATATAGTGTCAATATTGAAACTTAAAATTTCTATTTATATAGTTGGCTAAAAATATTCTCCTTGAATTTGCAAGGATAACTACACAATAGACATTTATGTTTCATTCACATAGTAATGAATATCCCTAGTTTACAGGGAGTTTTTCTCACTTTCACTACTTTAGTTCCAGCCAAAAGAGGACTGTTCCTCATTATGGTCCTACACAGAGGTAACCATGACACTCATCAGCAGAAGGAAATTATACCAGTTGGCAGAATTTCAAGAAGCACATTTTGTCGTTCACCTTGCTTATTAGGAAAGTACATGTATTACACTGATTTCCAGGCAATCATTAATTGTTTTGCCAGTTGGTCAGAGGTCTTTAAGAGGTAAAACTGGATGATCAGTGATAAGAAGGTCTAAGAAAAAGGCATATGAACAGATTACTCAGAAAGGACATAAAATACACAGATATTTGTATATAATGTAGTACTCACCAGAGAGCAATTTACCAAGGATAAATCACTTAACCAGATAGACAGGATGACATGGCCAGAAGATATCAATTTGTCTTTTTTCTTAGCTATTTTTGTGCTCATATAATATACACATGAGAATATTGACCATGGTGATACAAATGAAAACAATGCATGGGTTCACAACGTAGCCTTTCATTCAAGATATTCAAGTGAGTACATCACTTCTAAATATCGAGCCAGCCAGTATCAGAAATGGAGTCAACCACAGTTATTTTGTTTGGGGAACTAGATGGGTGAATAATTGGGAACAGGTTAAATCTAGACATCCAGATTATGCTGTCCGAAGATTCTAGAATCTGCATTGATATTGAGAAGCACAGTTCAATGGTAGCCTCCACTGATGGAGAACAACCACACTGATCTACTGTTTACTCAGACCCATATAGTAGTCACCCTGTTCCCACAGTTGTCTGTACCCCCTTACCAGTACAATCCTTACTTCCTAAGTAAAGAAAGTTCGCTTGAATTCTTCCAGTGAAAATGATCAAATGGTGTGTTTTGGATCCAATCTACATCAATATTTCTAACCAGTCCCTGCCATCTTTGTAAACATTCAGAACCTGTGTTGCTTACTTCCACAGGATTCTCTTTTTCCACTACATTTTCCTTCAGGATAACAACAGTATCAGATTAAAAAGCAGAATCAGATTGTTAAGGAACAGGAAAGCTGTATCAAACAGCTCTAGGTGTCATTCCTAAAATGTTGAATTATGACTCATGGTGAATAAGCCCATGTCAATGAATTTTCTTCTATATAGCTTGATCATCTATGATCTTGATCATCTTCTGTCCTGTCTACTACCCTCTATGCAAGATCATCTTCCATCTTCCCCAGGTTCCTGCTGGTATTTATTAAACAAGTGTGTGTGCACCATTGCTTGTAGTACCATTTTTAACTTGTCTGAGACCTAACCTTCATTCTCAACACTTGGCCAAAGTTAGGATGACAGACTTAATTTGAGAGATATCAAGTGGGAAAACTAAGCAAGGGCAGTAGCAATGATATTGCTAGCAATATCACATATTAGGGGTAAATCATTGAAAGGTGAAGGTAGTCAAAGTAATCAAATAAGGCCCCAAATCTAATGCAAAAACATTTTTTTAGGCCAACAAAGCCTTCAGGGTTATATATTCACCAACAAGTTTTTACTTGTTTTACACTATCATACATGAGTTTATAAATAAACAAAAATATTTTTTAATCTAAAAAGGATCTTAGCTACAGTGAGAAATTCCCTTGTTAAGATGGGAACTTGTTAAGCATGCAACAGAAAAAGGCAGACAGTTTCACCACCAGATCAACCATAAAATATTTATTAAGGATTTAACATTTTAAGCCTTAAGTTATATTTTTATCTAAATACATAAAATGTAATGTAGGTCACTATATTATTGTAAAGACATTTCTAAAGTAAATCCATGCATTTCTGTTAAATAGATGGAGAACTTTCACAAATTGATAAGTCAAACCTTATATTAATGCTATGAAGATAATTGCTCATTTATTTCAAAGAAATAAATAAATTAAAGTTAAACCACAGACTATGGTATGGTAGCTTAATAAAATTACATGAGCAGAGTTGACTTGGCAAGGCACCATGGATAACAATCTACCAGTAGATTGCAGTGAGTCCTTTTTTGTTCAACAAATGAAAGGTTATGTGTGAAGCAGCATGAACTGCATACAATCAACCAAAAGCAAACTACACATTTGAAAATGCAGGTTGGTTCACGTTCAATCATTTCATATCTCAGACAATTTTTTTTTCTAAAGATTGCAAACAATGGCTAGGCATGGTGACACCTGTAATCCCAGTGGCTCAGGAGGCTGAGGCAGGAGGATCTGGAGTTCAAAGCCAGCCTCAGCAAAAGACAGGCGCTAAGCAACTCAATGACACCCTGTCTAAATACAATACAATATAGGGCTGGGGATGTGGGTCAGTGGCCAGGTGCCCCTGAGTTCAATCTCTGGTACCACCAACCCAACAACAACAAAAAAAGCAAACAACAGATAGGTTTAATTACCATGTGAATGTTTGAAACTCTGGCATAATAAATCCCCTAGGATTATATGGCTGCTAAACAGACTTTCTTCTCTTTCCAAATACATTATTGATCAATTTGGCCATTGACTTAGATCCACTGGATCTTCTCTTTTCTTTGAGCTTGAAGTTTGTAAGAATATCCTTGATAATTCTGATGAACATCATTTCTACTTCCAGAGACTGCTCTGCTGCAGACAGTTCACAGAATTGGCATCGGTTATCCAGTGCCAGCTTTTCTCCTTCTTCCCAGCCAACCTCACGCACATGACAGAGGTCTTGCTTGTTGCCAACCAAAAGTACTGCCTGTTCCACAGCTCTGAAATACAGACATGCAATTTTTGGCAAAATTGTTTCAATAACTCTTTTTTATAACAGGAAGGTTCATATGAGTCAAAAAAGAAAAAAAATATTGTGTATCTATGTTTATGATCACATGTGGATATGGTGATACATACAGTATTTCACCACATAATCATCTCCATGCATTAACATATTCAAAGTATTCCATGCATACTAATTTTGCACCAAAACCAATTTAGTAATAGAGATTTTTTAAATATTAGCAGCACGTTCTTAAAAGCTTCATACAATGGTCACATTCTACTTTTTTTGCAAAAAACAATTGGCATAAAAAATTGGTTATGCAGTAAAATATGTGTCACCATTTACTTACAACAATTGTTTCAGATAGAATGTAGTAAATAACACAAAAGCAACAATGCCCTTAAAGCTGAGGATTTGAAGTAACATAAACCTATTCTTGAATGCTGAATCTGATTACTAACTAGGTATTATTGGTATCTTTCCCAGTTTTGGTTTCTTTCTATGTAAAAAACAGTAAAATAGTCCTCATCACAGAGATTTCTCACACAGATTAAATGAAATGATGTGTATAAAAATACCTAGCACAGTTCCAAGCAATGAAAGATTCTTATTATTATTTTTTATGTCCATTATTATTTGCAAGAGGAGAATGAACAAATATCCCTACTTATATAGTTACTGGAATTGAACAGTTAATTTGGATGTTTTCTAAAGCAAAAGTTAATCAGTAATCACTGCTGCTTTTTATTTGTTAGTATACATTATAATGAAAAATTTTTACTCTCATGTATCTTCCTTATGCTCTATTGACAATGGGTAACTTACAAGTACAACTTTACATTTGAAAAATGGTCCTTGTTAAGATAAAATATCTTCTGTAAATACAATAACTCTACTTTGTAATGGTGAAACAATACAAATAAAGAGTTTGGTAAAAAAAATATACAATGAAACTACTAGCTTTAAAGTGGCATAAGGAAGAAATTGTAAACATGGATGGCCTCTAATTATAGACACCAGAGTCCACTGAAGTAGGGTTCGTTCATATGCCCATGGGCTGTGAGGAAAGATGCTCTGTATGTGGTGGCCTTTAAGGGGTATTAATATTGTCTTCAGTCAAATACACAAAATGATTGTAAAGGATAAATGAGGAAAGGTAGTTGAAAGTATTTTGAAGGATGAACCATGAATATCAGAGGTCGTTTTACAAGAGTTCCATATTTTACTCTCCTGGCCTTTCTTCAGATCAGGAACTGGAAGTACTCCAGGAATAGTTTAGTCAATAAATTGACAAGATTGCTGTAAAAATGTCAAAATAGGTTTTTATATATTAAATGTGATTTTAAGTGTTCTTGACTGATTATTTTGCTTTGAAAGGATATAAAAAGAACTTTATTTTTATACCCTACCTATGTCATTAGTGCAAAAATATAAGGAAATAAATGCCTGAATTCTAAAAAGTCAGTAATGTTATAGGAAATCAGGGCTATGAAGCACCTGAGTAAAATCACATCCTCTGCTCCTACTATGCTGTCATCAGCTGTAAGATCAGATAAATGAGCTCTCGAGATTGAAGTGGTTTACCGAAGGTAAATCAAATGGAAAGCAGAATGTACATGAACTAGCTCTAGGGATATGCCCTTTATCAATTACTGGCCCATGGTTTCCTTGCTAGTGGGCAGTTAAAGTAGATATATAAAACACTTTTACCAATTTGCAGTAATAATATTGTACTTTTTATACTTACCATATTAGAACATTATTTTGGACTCTACTGGCAAAACTGGCTAAGAGCACAGAGAATACTTACATCCACCCGTTAAACGTAAATACCTCAAATGAAAAAGGCTAAAGTTCACAATAAAACATAGGAATAACTAACATGGAATACTTAGATGCTTAAGCTTTTCTCTACCAACACAATAATTGTTTAAGGACAAGTTATCTTTTCCTTCATAGTTCTGTGTGTCAGGATAACTAACAATGGAGAATTGTTGGTCAGCTCTTTATTTTAGAAGGTGAAATGTAGAAAACTGCATTCTCATATTTAGAATTTGCAAATGGTTTGATTATTCAGTCTATTTTGCTATGAAAGATGGAACAACCCAATAACTAGGAATTGGATTTCACAGGATGCCAAATGTAATAAATCTGGATTTATTTAGTATCCTTAACATTTGTGTGTGTGTGTGTGTGTGTGTGTGTGTGTAAAAAATGAAACGGAAAGGTTGAAAAGGGAACTCTGTTATGTACAGAGGACCATTATTTTGCAAGTGAGTGTCATGTTAACAATAGAAGCTGTCTTGTAAAATAGCCATTTACTCAGGGCAAGTAACTGTTTATGTCAGCCTGGATATAAAGCATTCTCATCTTATTCCTTTTTACTACACGTGTAACTCCTGTGGAATGGGAAGGTGAATTGTTCAGGGTTGTTAAATTTCGTAATTGGAAGGCTGTATTAAATTCTTCCTAATGATGCTTACAGCCATATGATGATTTACTCAAAAGAAAGGAGAAGAGAACGAAATACCTTACCTTTTGCAATGACTAGCTTGTGGCTCCCGAATTCTGTAGATAAGGGCTTTTGCAAAAGCAAACGAAGATCTGTCACTGATGTCATACACAATAACAAACCCATCTGCCCAGTGAAGTTTACTTGTGAGAGAGAATTTTGCTTTCTGCAACTGAAAGTAAAACAAGTGCATTGAAAGTGTTGGAATCAAACACTGGTACTTTATAATCTAGTTAATTGATGCACACCCATTTCATTGAAAGAGACTTCAATAAAGCCCCAAATTAATATTTTATAAAATGTATTTTCTTTGTGTATTTCTTTCTTATTTCTCTTTCTTTGATTAAAAGTGAATGAAAATTCCACAAAAATTGGTAAAGCTTAGCTAAATATATTTAAAGCAATTTTTACTTACCCCCTAAAAATATTGAGTTATTTAGAAACCAGATAGAGTTGTTTTGAAACCAGAGACAACTGACAGTTATTTCTTTCTTAATATTCCTTTGACTCCTTTTCTCATTTATATAATCCTACTTTAACTATTTAATATTTTGAATGGTCAAAGAGGTTTGTACTCAAAATGTATCTTACTTATACTCATTTAAACCAGGTTACTTACAAATACAACTCAGTGAAAATACTAACTGAATTGACAAGCCACAAAATTGACAGCCATTCTATGGCCTGACAGAAATATGTTATGAATGAAACCCAGTATTTCTATTTTAAAGATATATGTGATGTGTTAATTTTTTTGACATAAGTTTTTGGAGAAGCCAGAAAATGAAATTTATAACACAGAAAGTAATCTCTTAACATTTTAGTAATTAAAATGGAGAAGAAACTTCATTATAACACTGACAATGTTTCACACACCCTTATCAAAACTTCCAAGTCATAATTAAAACAAGGGAAAAAAAATAAGATTTTTGCTTTACTTACTTGAGAACAAGGGTCATATATTTCCAGATTCAGTTGCTTCCCTTCCAAACACAAATGCTTATTATAGATAGACTCTGTGAAATAATATATAGGCATTGTTGGCACGGAAAAACTCCAGAATAAAATGTCCAGTCACCTGATCACAGTCTGTCCAATTCCACCAGCCCTATTTTAGTGGAACAGTACAGTAGCTTTTCTTCCTTGCTGGTGACCCAAACCATGCCCATGCTGTATTTACTCAAGTATGTTACTTACACATGAATTTCACCCCATGTCTGTTTACCTGCTTTCCTTCTAGTCGATGAATTGTGTTCCTACTATGGACATTTTATTTACCCTCAAATAGTCATGACTTCCTCCAGCTGCTTAAAAAACACAGCTTCAGTAACTCTGTCTTCCCGTATCATGACTTTTTTTCTCTCTAGTATTTCATTAACAACATCTTATAAACATGCTTATTTTCTTCTAACTTAAATATTGCAAAACTCAATGGTCAGTTCTATGTCTTCATCTCATCTGCCTCACTAGTAGCAGTAATGTAGTTGGTCACTCCTATCTCCTTCAAATATTTTCTTCACATGGCCTTCAACTATACATACTCTTCTGTTTTATTTATTCTCTGTTACTCCATCTTAAACTTGTAATTTTCCTCCCACCTCCAAACTTAATTCCCCAGTTCATGGTACTCTTTTCTATCTATCTTGCTTTGCCAATCTCCACCAACTACGTGCCTGAACATGCTAATTATTCACTATTAACTCAGCCTATATCTACAGCCCAGATTTCTCTGAACTCAAGAATATCCCTGAACCACTTGTTATTTGACATGTCCAGGCCTGGTAAACATCTCACCCTTAACACACTTAAACTGAACCCCTGATATTTCTGCAAAGACTGCATCTTCCACAGATTTCCATTTTGCTAAATGCTATACCCATAAATCCAACTTTTCAGATAAAAAGCTTTAAGACCTTCCATGATTCTTTCTCTTGTGTCCATAGCCATTCTATTAAAATTCATTTTATTCTACCTTCAAAATTATTTTTAATTTATCTGCATCTCACTACCTCCACTGATAACACTCTAAATCACCATTACCTCTTACCTAGGTTATTACAGAGTGTCCTATTCTACCTATCTTCTTCCAGTCCCCCAATCCCTTCCTGTCCCTAGTTAATTCTCAATACAGAAACAAAAATGAACCTTCTAGTCTGAACAGATACTTAGCTAATCAGATTGCTTTGATTACTTCCCATCTCACTAGGGTTAAACCAAAACTTTTAACATACCTAAGAATATTCCTCCTTATCTAAATCCCCAATACCTCTATGACTTCAGAAGCTCTCTTTGTTTATTTTACATTCTCTCCTCTTGATGGGCACTAAGCTTCATACCATTCTTCAGATTTTTTTTCCAGAAATATCCTTCCTTAGAACTTTGTTAATTATTCTTTCTTCTGACTAAAATATAAACCCCAGATAACTTCATGGTTCCATTCACTGTGTTTCTGTTTCAATATCATTTTCCCAGAAAGATCTGTGATGACCATCTTATTTTAAATAGCTATGTACAATATGAGTGCTTCTCTCTTTTTTTCCTTCATAGCATTTGTCATCATGACATAATTTATTTTTAATTTTTTCTTTTGCCAGGATTAACAGACCCTTCTGTCAGGATTATAAACTCCACAAGGGATTAGCTATTTGTCATTTTTATTTACTGCTGTCTCCTGTCTACCTGAAAGAGTCTATGGTACATGAATAATAATTTAATGAATTAATTAATTTCCACAACCATTTTGATAAAAGACCTACCTTTTTTTTTACAAAATAATGTAATACTGACATAAAATTATAATTTATGCTGGCAAATATTCTGTAACCCATAGTAGAAAGCTATAGCAGATATCTGGGGAGTCTACCCAGAGAGTTAAGTCTAACTTTTTAAATCTTTCCAGGTTAAATTTAATAAAATTTATTATAGTTTCATCAAATCTTAAATTATTTTCAGAGTTTATTCTAAACTTCATAGATTTACTATTGACTATAAACCATAAAATCTCCTTGGAGACATTTTAAAAATCCAATCTCAAATCTCAAAAACTGCTGACAAGAGTCATCAACTCTTGGTTTAAAAATATATATATATATATATTTTTCCCCTTCTGGCCTTCATTTACAGGATGAAGCTGTTCTTGCTAGCTTGTTCTCGGAGAGTGGGTGACCTTTGGATCACTTGCTTATCTTTTCAAAATGTCTCCAGGTCTTGTATTTTTCATTGAGATGTAACAGTCAGAAATGTGTAAACATTTCATTTGTTTATGTAACTAGATTGTAGAAGACATGAAGGTGAAGGGTTTTGTTATTGCTGGTATTGTTATTTGGATATTGTATTCTTTTATTTATGTTTAGATTCATTTTTACTTTTGGAGCCTTTTCTCATGCCTGAGTCCTACCTTGTGGGCTGTTGACCTTTGTCGGCTGATTTTGTCACCCCCAGAAATGAAACACTGGAAATTTCTCTTTTTGTATACTTCTTCTTTCTATAATCAGTTTTCAAGCACTTGCCCTAAAACATTCACAATGTCATACAGACTGAAATACTGTGTTGGATACATGTGCACAACACAGTACTTTCAAGTTATTTTGTGAAATACTCTAACAGTGCCACTTTAGGAATAAATGTTCAACGTTTATTTGTTTCTTGGTGAATTACACACTTTCAATCTTTAACTTTTCTTACTCTACATAAAAAATTTTGAATGAAAAACATATTGTTCTTTCTCTTGTATCTCATATTTATTACAATTATCACTGTTAAAAAAATTAAATTTATCACTACCTTTGATAAAATAAGATATTAACACCATTATATTGATGGATTGCTGGACAAAAATTACTCAATTGTGGTAAAATTCCTTACTTTTTGTGCCATGATATACCCCATGTGTTATGCTAATTCTGATCAAAATGACACAAAATTAGAGTTAGTGCAAGGATCCTGAAAGTATACTAAGATGCCCTGATATCTTTGTTTTAGAACTTTTCTGAAATTTGTAAATAATGTAGAAAATAATATGATCTTTAAACAAGGTATGACTTTTCTATTATTTATATCTGACTTTTAAATAGCAGTATGTTTTATTTTGTAGGTACTTATTTTTTTAGTTTCAATTGGCTCTTGTAACAGATGATGATTTATTTAAACATTCTATATTTTACAACAAATATTCATACACTATTTGGGAAGAGGATCCCAAATCTAATGTTTTGTCTAGTTCTAGACTTCGAAATGAACTGACTTTCTAATTCATTATCAAATTGGGTGAATTTTTATCATTAAAGGATATTCAATTCAAGTACCTATTCTGGCATTTCTTACAAAAATCTGTTAATTAATAAATTGATTAATAAATATAAAAGTGTTAAATTCTACCAAAATGCTTCTCTAATTGGGGAATATTTATGATGTTGACATTTTAAGATAAGAAAAGTCTTTAGTAGTGCCTTACCAAAATTAGAAGCATATTCTCCAATGAATCGCTTAGTAAGAAACCTTACAGTAAGGGCTGAAAAAAAAAAAAAGCTAGGTTTAAGGATTGTTACATTTTAAGATACAAATAATTTATATGTGTACTAAGATTTTATCTTTGACCTCAAGAATTGTCATGCATTTATGAAGAACTTAAAATCTTACTAAATTATAATCTAAATGTGTCAATAATGTTTGCATGGTACAAACATAACATTGTGAAAATAGAAAAATAAAATCTTAGAGCACTATATATTTAAGCACTGTAGTTAATTCACGAAGAAAACACATAAGGCAACCAAAAAATTTTATAATACAAACACATCTCATTATATTTGAAATGTTAGACTATTGCATTCTTTATTTTCTCTATCAAATTAAATCTGGCTCCAAGGTACTATATGTAAGTGTAAACACATCACAATGACCCCATCTTTAGGTATAATTATAAATAGAAAAACATTTTAAAAGGCTTTAAAAAATAGTGATAAGGACATTATCAAGAATTTGCAGTTGTTTAAGGATGTAGGATTTTTAAATCCTGGAAATAGCAAAACCGTCTCTGGTATCTGTTTATCACATCTCAGCTTCTGAGTTTGGCCACTTCATTAGGCTTATGTGGATCTGTGAGGGACATACTGGTTGCCATTCAAATACAGGTAAAACCAAAGCAAAGCAAAATAAAATCAAACCAGGGCTTCCAAAAATAAGGCACATGTAGCTTAGTTTGAGGTTCTCCACAAGGCCATGTCCCTCTCAAATCCTTTCACACCAACAAGGCTGCATTTTAAACACAACCCATGTGTCTCTATGCATCTCTTTCCACCCTTAGTTTCATAGAAGAAGGGTTTTTTCAAAGCCATTGCTTAGCTATGGGGCTAATCTATTGGTGTAGGGGCAGGTATACTGGAGTTAGAAGTAAGAGGAATGATGAATCCCTATGAATTTCAAACATCAAGAGAAGCAGACACTAATTAATATGTCAAACATTTATTTTGCTACATCTGACTACATATTTATAAATATAAAATTACTCGTCTATAGCATTAAAAATCCCTGCAAATAATAATGTGTGTATCATCCCACAGATTAAATAAGTCATTATTTATCTAAAGTTATTTTATATAAAGTTCTTATTGAACATGTCAGTGTTTCTCATTTTGCACTCTACCTCATACCACAGAGGGCATCCCCACTCACCAGACTTGCCGGTGCCTTCACCACCCAAGACAGAAAGCTTAACTTCATTCATCTTGCCTTTCTGCTCTTTCTGATCCATCTAGTGTTCTGGAACTAGGCTGACTCAAGCCAAGCGTAATTCCTTTTTATTGCTGCTCTCATTTCTCTAAGAACAACTCCGCCTCATATTCCTATCATCTAATTATAACTTAAAAAATGTTTTCCTTCAGTAGTTTTCAACATATTCCCTTTTTTAAAAGTTGGAGTTACTATTTTGAGACTAAGTTTTAGGATAGAGATAGCTATGTATTTTTAACAGAAGCTTAGCTCCCAACCCTCCATTTTGTGAATCTGGAATCTACTTTCTCCTAGGATCCCCAAAAATGATCTTTCATTTGGAAAATTTTCAAGGGATGGGCAAACATCTTTGTAAACTTTCTTCGATTAGATAAGTTCTGTTTGTTTCTTTATCACCTGAGCCTAAATCTTCTAGCACTGCTCTGGTGACAGACAAGGGGAAATGAGTTAACTCAGTCATTAAAAGAAATGAGAGTAGGAAAAGGGTCACTCCAGGATTTCTGAGTTTAGTTTTGATAGCAATGTCAATAAATACCCAGGCCATATTTTTTAACCATATGATGTGCTCTAGGAGAAAATGGATGCCACAATGTTTTGGCTTTCCAATGTCATCTTTAATAAGTAATAAGTAAATTCTCTTTTTAAAACATGTCATGACAATAGATAACAGCAAGATTTCTAACAAAGAATAAAACAATCAATGTCATGTTGTTTGAAAAGCAATAACATAAACTGTCATATCTCCTTCTGCATTACTTTGGAATTAGGAAAGAGAAAGGAAAGAAAAGTTGGAGGAGGAATCTGGGCATAATTCAACCCGCTATGGAGTAAAGATATCAATTTAATATGCAAAAATAATGACTCTTTCATACCTCTTTTTGTTGATTTTTTTATACTACTCAGTGTCCATTGCTTTTTTCCTGTTATCTTTCCCTATTATATGTTTAGAAATGCTAAAACAAGTAGAATTCAGCCTCTGTATGAATAGTGAGCAGACTAAAGAATGCTATTTATAGGCCAGGTAGATCACAGAAATATTAATATACTATTTAAAATGAATATATGTAATATTTCTCAATTGCCACTATATTTTAAAAGCACAACTTAAAGATCAACAGTTAAGTAGTGAAGTTTCTACCATTATGCAGTTTATAGTCTACTAAGGAAAATATGAAATAAATTAGAATTATAATCAATAATGTTTCTAAATAAAATAGGATTTTAAGGACTGGGGAAAGCAATGCAGCAGATAGAAAGGTCTTCAAAAAGTATATAAACTTGAAACATGAGTAGAACTCACAGAGAGAGAGAATGAGAGAGAGAGAGAGAGAGAGAGAGAGAGATGAGAAAAAGTAATCAGGAATTGGAGAGATGTGTTTATTGCAAAAGAAGAAACAAACCTGTAAAAGAAGAACAGCAAGAGAAGATATGACAATTTGTGAACGCAACAGAGTAATAGTTGAAGCAACTTTGATTTTTCCTTTTATTACAAACTTTTAAAAACTAAAAATATGCTCTCTAACTTGCAAATCTGTATTTGAAATAATATCAATTTTTACTAGTAAGGAAATCTACTAGCTTATTTGTTACACTATAGAATTGAACTTTTTCCATTTATTTGGAGAAATATTATTCTTAAGAACTTCTGATCAATATTTTTAGGAAGTTTTGTGCATCTACTGAGAGAAAGGATAGACTTTGCTTCATATATATCTGATATTAAAACAAACATGTGATTTCCCATCAAGAGACGGGCATTCTTTCATCTGAAATTCTTCCTCAGATTTAAAAAATAGCCCTAATAAGAAAGAAGGTAGCGTTGCTATGGAGTGAAGCTATAAATCTGAATAGGGAGAAAAAAAATAATGTAGACACATTTTAAAGAACAAAAAGTGCCAAAAAATGGAAAAAAGAAAATAAAAAAAGAAAGAAGAAAAGAAAAAGAAAAACTAAATGGGGCATGATATGGGGACTCAGATAAATAATGATAACAAATTAATCAATATCCTGATAGCCACATTATACTACTTTAAATGTTTTCACATTACTCTAAAGACACATCAACTCACAACCAAACTAAAGTCATTTTCCCTTTTATTTAATTTATTGAATGACCCAAACTTATTACATGTTCTTCTATAGTCCTGGTACTGTTTTAGGTCCTAGAAACACATCAAACAACAGACAAGAAAAATATTCACATAGTCTTCATTTTAATCATGGGGAGACAGTGAGTAACCATTAAAAAATGAGCCACTGGTAACCTATCAGGGGTTCATAAATGCCATCATCTTATCTGTTTGGTTTTATTTCTCTGAGGCCAATTTAGTCAATTCTTCTCATCTGTTAATCTCATTTACCTGTATTTTCTATTATTTTTCACCAAAGCTTGAGATTCAGAAGAGTGGAGTCACACCCAAATCTCCAAGAAGCAAAAAACATGGGGCTGGGGATGTGGCTCAAGCGGTAGCACATTCTCCTGGCATGTGCGGGGTGCTGGGTTCGATCCTCAGCACCACATAAAAATAAAATAAAGATGTTGTGTCCACTGGAAACTAAAAAATAAATATTAAAAAATTATCTCTCTCTCTCTCTCCCTCAAAAAAAGAAAGAAAGAAAAGAAAGAAAGAAAAAACATCTTTATTTCATAAACTGTTACAGATCCTTGAAAGGATGAAAGGCTTCCCAACTCATTCACTATATCTGTCAAAGCCTTACCCATACATGAATAGTGTACACAGAGAGGAATGAAATACATGGGACAATGTTATTTATGAATATGGATCCCCAGATCCTAAATATATTGCAAATCAAAACCAGAGATGTATTAAAAGAACTAAGCATCATGAGCGAATAGGACATGTTCCAAGAATTTCAAGTTGGTTTTACAGTAAATTAGTAAAATATTGCAATTCCATTGACAATATCAAGAAGAAAATTTATATACATAACATGTTCAAAAAACATTTCATGAAATATAACAACCCCTTTTAAAAAGCAAAATACTCTTTATAATCTAAAAACAGATTAAGGGTACAATTTTCAAAATTGCAACAAATCTTTATAGAATCATTATAGTGATGATAGATAATAGTGATGATTCTATAGAAAGAATGAGAGAATGTTCACTATGGCTTTATAGCATAAAATTGTCAGTCCTTCTTAACAAAAAGAAAGTGAGAATAACTCCTAGAGGTAAAGGAAACAAAGTATCTATGGAGGGAATTGTTTTCTTCAATTGTAGTATCACATTATTAGCTTTGAGAACATTCCTTAAAGTAGCCAGATAAAAGATAAACAAAAAAGCAATAGTTCCAAATAACAACAACAACCCTAACAAGTTTTTCACATTTATATGAAAGAAGACAATGAAATTTTAAAAGAAAAAGTAAGAATGGAATGAGAAGGAAAGAAAGAAAGGAATGCAACAAATAATCAAACTAATAAGGAAAGTATATTTATAGGAAGAATTCTTTAGTACCTACTGAAGGTTATAATATAGAAATATGACTGGAAATACTATGCTGTAATTAGTGCTAAATTATTCTGAAAGTCAAATATAATGTCAATTAAAATCCCAACAATGATAGCTCAATTGAATGTGGACGGTCTGCTTTACAAAAGAAAATATGCAAATATAACTGAGACATTTGTAGAAAAAAAGTGACAGGGTAAAGTAGTAAGTAAACAAAATACCTTTTTGAATGAAATCATACCTTAATCTCCTATTAATTAAATATTATGTTATTAGAACTAGATTAATGTGTTCATTAAAAGAATATTTTTAGTATATTAAAGAAGTTTGTAGGAAACTTGTTTTATTATGAATATAAAGATTTAAATATGTGTTATCTTTAAGTTGTAGTGACACCATTAGAAGTAATTAGAAAAGTATGTCTATACATCCTACAGTGCAGAAAAGTAAATTAGAAATAGTAAAACTTTTATCAAGAAAATTGAATTTTAAAAAGTTCAAGTTGACACGTATATGAGTATCTTTCAAGTAAACTTGAGGAGGGCAAAGTCTTTATAGACAAAAAACAAAGAAAGACATGGAGAGAAAAGAAAAATCCAAGGACATTCCATGGTTGAACTTTAACTGTGGGTTATGTTAGTCTCAAGGGAATACTGATTAAGTAATGTATATTTCTCTATTTATTCACAACAAACCAAAACCCTGTACACTAATGGATCATTTTTATCTGAATTAAAGTATTTGTTTCACCTCAAATCTGTTATTAAAGGAAATAAAGCTCTAATAGAAAAATATTTTTGAGATAGAATTACTTCTAGAAATTTTATGTGAAATATGAAAATTTTTAGTGAGTAGTAATAACACTTTTAGAGAATAAAATGGTGCTATAATTTCATAAAACATGTGTTCAAGGCACTAACATTTTAAACCACATTGTGAACATTCAGGCATTTGCATGTTATGTTGGAATTAGGTAAGGAATCTATGGGGAAATTTTTAGAGGAATAAAGATAATTTGATTGCTAAACTGTGTCTCTCTCCTGATCTCAAGTTCTTTATGCAATGTGTCATAGCATAAATAGCATAGAAAACATTCTCAGCTAAAGAAGCAATTTCTCCACAATCACAAATCCTCCAAAATCTTTTCCAAAGAAATTATTCAAACCTAAAAAGGTACCTCTCCAAATGATGAAGACATTATAATAGAGGATACTAAAATATAAAGACTGTTATTAGCCTACACACCAATAGTTTTTTTTTTTGGCTAAAGTAAATACATCACAGAATTAATAATTGCTTAGTTTATCTCTTTCTATTTTAAAGTTCACTTTTACATACAACATCAGATTACTCATATATACTTCCTTTTGTATATGTGATTATTTGTATTTGAAGAAGTATGTGAAACAGATTACTATCCAATAAAACTATGTCCTACTTTATTTAATCTGGGAAAACAATTTTTAGGCTTGATACCCATTCATCATAACAGTTTTTGGCTTACAGCTTCTGGAAAGTCATTGCTTAGAGAAGAAGGCAGATTCCAGGGATAGTATG